TATTGTGTTATGCTGTGTTCTATAGCACAACATTATATCCCTCTGCCTCTTGGGGTTTGGCAGAATTCAAACATTTGTGTCGTTTTCATAATTTCTCTTGTCAGTGTTCTCTCACGACAATGGCTAGCATGTATTGCGCAAACACATCATGTAATCACTGAGAATCCCTGTGGTGTTAACCAGTCTGACTGCTAGCCTAGCCACCAACCTACAAGCTAATAAATACAACCAAGCTAGCATTACTGTAAGCCTCACCTCAGTTGTCAAACAAAATTGTAAAGAAAACAGTTTTTCTATCTTTATTCAGCACAAAATGGAAGCCAGAGACAAGTTTTTTCCTCCTTCAGCCAGAGAAAAGAAGCCGAACTGAGGTAAGGTATCTAGATAGCTAGCTACCTTGCTAACTCTAGCTTTTAGCTTGTTGTCTTCCTCATCTGAGAAGTCATTTCTGTTGTTTGAGTAATCCATTCTTTCAGCTGTGATGATGATTTGAGTACAGTTACTACAGTTATACAGCCGCAATATGATATTTGGCTTCCTAGCAGTAACGTTAGCTACCTGCCTTCTTTCTACTTTTGCCAGCTAGTTAATTATTTCAGACAAACCATTCTCAGGTTTCCACCTCAAAGCAGCTGAATTTTTTTTTTCTAAAAATCCTCCTAACTATGAGATACATCATCAGAAGAGGGTTGTCCCAGTCTTTAAGCTGTAAAATCTCACTTTAAAGACTGCGGTACTGCTATAAAATGTGAGCAAACAAGCTTACAACAGATGCAGGAATAGTTTTGTTTTTTGCCCCGTTTGTTGTAGTAACAGCCACTACTCTTCTGGGAAGGCTTTACACTAGATGTTAGAACATTGCAGTGAAGATTTGATTGCATTCAGCCACAAGAGCATTAATGATGTCAAGTACTGATGTTGGATGATCAGTTCTGGATCACTCTGACTCATCCCAAAGGTATTGGATGGAGCTGCATCTACAGAGAACGCAGTTCCACTGTGGAGCTCAATGATGGGCAGCTTTGTACCCCCCTAGGTGATGCTTGGCATTAAGCATGATGACCTTATGTTCATGTCCAGCTGCTCCAATCAACACTATTTTATTTCCTGTGCTTTTCTAAGCATATTGCATGACTGTGTGTATATTTTAACGCAAGTGTGAGCAATAAATGCACTTAAAGTAGCTCAATTTACTAATTGGAATGCATTAATTACTAATTGGAATGTAAGCTTAATCACACACTTGAAAGTATGTAAATAAGCGACAGTAAGTAAATAAGCGAATTAACTGTGTGCAGTCAACTTAAGCCAAAAGCAACTGAATAAGATCCATGCATTGTAGGTGAAAATCACAGCATGTATACACTCTTAAAAAAGACAGTTCTTCAAGGGTTCTTTAGTGAAGAACATGGTTCTATATAGAATCTTGAACATGCAAAGAACACTTGGTATAATTAAATAGTTCTTTGCATTGTGAGAGAGTTTATCAGACTGATGGAGTTCTATAGAGAACCATCTACAGCACATTCTCTGTCAATCTGAAGAACACTTTCATGATGCAAAGAATCATGTAATCATGCCAAGGGTTCTTTGAGTGTTCATGGTTCTACACAGAACTATTTTCTTTACTAAAGAACCTTTGAAGAACCATCTTTTTTAAGTGTGTATAGCATAACAGAAAGACAAATTTGCAGCATAGATGAAAATCAGATGAAGAGCTTGTATAGAGCGTAAGCAAAAAGCAAATTATTTTCATGCATATATCATAAATGAAAAACAAAATAAACTGGACTGAACTGCATGCACATGTTTGCAAATGAACATGCATACAACAGAAAAGCAAATGAACTGAGTGTATATAGCATACAGGTGAAAATCAAACGAACAGCATCCATACAGAAAAAGCAAATCAAGACCATGCATATAGTATATTAAAGCAAGTGAACAGCATGCATACAGCATAAGCTTAAAACACTGACGGCAAGCATACAGCAGGAAAACATACAACAGAAAAGCATATATACAAACAGCATATAGGTGAAAATGGCATGCATACAGGAGAAAAGCATATACACCGCATGCGTTGATGAACAGTGAAAAGTAAATGAAGTCTGAGCACGCATACAGAAACACTTAAGCTCAGCTTTGGTGCACAGCCCGGAGATAATTCGTTCACGGAGCAGGTAAGACCTTTCAACATTAATTTATCAAGCCTCGTGCCTGGTTTCTAGCCTATTTTGTCTTAATTTCTTGTCAGAATGTGGCAGTCACACGCTCAGTGCCTATCACTCTTTAAAAAAAGATGGTTCCTCAAGGGTTCTATAGTAAAGGGAATGCCTTATTTAGAACCATGAGTTCTATCCCAGCTAGCAAAATTTGTCTGGCTCACTTGTGGGCCACATCCTTGGTTTGTTCTGGACCAGTATATGGATGGGTCCTCAGCCCAGATCTGGCCCACACACTGTAATGTGCGTAGAACTATAGGATATGGCCCAAATCTGGTCCCAATCTGACCCAACTACATTGTTGGTCCACAACATTGACACCAGAATAGTCCCACAAATGTAGACACAAGGCAAAATGGTATGAAGCTGTCCAGGATCTGGCTCTGTTCTGGCCCACATGCCTAACATCTACCCGGTAGTCAGCCAACACTCACATAGGAAAGCCAGAATCGGCCCAAAACTGTCTGCTATCTGGGATGTAGAACCATTTTAAGCTTCAGATTGATGGTTTTATATGGTTGTATATAGAACCTTTTTGAAAATGGTACTATATAGCACCAAAAAGGGTTCTTTTACTCTTATGATGTCAAGACTGTAACAACAGCAGAACCCTTTTTTGTGATATACAGACCACCCTGTGTCAATAGCCAGACATAATGACTTTACCAAACGTGTGAAAGGCCCATACAGAGGTTGACATTTTTGAGGTTGGTCCTTCCTGTCCTTCCTTGAAGTCAAACGTATGCATTTTTAATATGTTAACTGCAGAGCTATTAAAATGGCTGAAGTTCTGCAGAAGCATGCAGTAGAGCTCAAATACAGTAAATATAATAGTAGTCTGTGAGACAGACAACTTTAGCAATGATTTTCAGAAGGATGCACCACCCGAGGTCTTTTAAGACACCAGCATTACAGGTGTTTTCAGAATCAGAATTAGAATCACTCTGAGGCAGAGGTGGTTAGTGTAGCCTAAACCCATATAAGCAAAAAGAATGGCTACTTTGGTAAAATAATGAGATAAAAGTAAAAGAACTACAAAAGCAGCGTGTCAAAAAAACTACTTAAGTATTAGCATGTCTATCAGCAGAGGACCTGAGGTTTGTTAAACTCTATTCTTCTGTTTTCCTAAAGTCTAAAACATAATGATATGCCTCGGAATTCAGAGGTGTGACTGCTCAGAAAGCAGTGCAGCTGCTGTCAATAACAAAATAAAAGTCATTAGTAATTAAAATGTTAATTATTACAATATAACAGTGAAAAGTACTTCTATACTAATATAAATGAGCAGAAATAAAACTATTTTAAAATATCCAAGAAAGTACAATTCCATCAAAACTGTACATGCAACTGAGAAAATGGAACTAGATAATACTAGGTCTGAAAGATTCATTGTATTTTATGTCAAAATTGATATTTATAAGTACTGCAAGACCTGCAATTTTTAGTGTACATGATCAACAATTTGTCTTAACAGCTTTTAAGAGGGAAATTAAGCCTAATACCACAGAGCTTCTATAGCACCCTTAGTTGAGTCAGAACAAACAGAACCAACCAAGCATCCATGTGCTGTTTATATGACAACACAACCACAACTACCTTGCAGTCTCACGTTACATTCAGCTTTCATGTCTCAAGCGAAAAAACATGGATGTGTGAGTAGAACTAAAGGATATGGCCCAAATCTGGTCCCAATCTGACCCAACTACATCGTTGGTCCACAATATTGACACCAGAATAGTCCAGAATAATGTAGACACGAGGCAAAACGGTATGAAGCTGTACAGGATCTGGCTCTGTTCTGGCCCACATGCCTAACATTTACCCAGTAGTCAGCCAACACTCACATAGGAAAGCCAGAATCGGCCCAAAACTGTCTGCTATCTGGGATGTAGAACCATTTCAAGCTTAAATGATTCAGATTGATGGAGAATGTGTTTTATATGGTTGTATATAGAACCTTTTGGAAAATGGCTCTATATAGCGCCAAAAAGGGTTCTTCTACTCTTATGATGTCAAGATTGTAGCAACAGCAGAACCTTTTTTTGTGATATATAGAGCCACCCTGTGTCAATAGCCAGACACAATGACTTTACCAAACGTGTGAAAGGCCCATACAGAGGTTGACATTTTTGAGGTTGGTAAACTATCTGTCCTTTCTTGAAGTCAAACATGTGCTTTTTTAATATGTTAACTGCAGAGCTATTTTCATTTGCTTGTAATCTATACATTTCGTCAGCTGACAGATGTTAAAGAAGCAAGTGAACTCTGAAAATTAAAATGGCTGAAGTTTTGCAGAAGCGTGCAGTAGAGCTCACAGTGAATATAATCAAGCCAGAAAACGTGGACATTTGAGTAGAACTATAGGATATGGCACAAATCTGGTCCCAATCTGACCCAACTACATTGTTGGCCCACAATACTCAGAATGTGTTTTATATGGTTGTATATAGAACCTTTTTGAAAATGGCTCTATATAGCACCAAAAAGGGTTCTTCTACTCTTATGATGTCAAGACTGTAACAACAGCAGAACCCCTTTTTTGTGATATATAGAACTTTGTACCATCCGAAGAACCATTTCGCCATGCAAACACCCGTTTAAACATGGGATGTTTCTACATAGAGCCAATGGTTCTAAACAGAACCACTGCCTTCACTAAAGAACCCTTGCAGAACCGTCTTTTTAAAGAGTCTAGAGCAGTTGTAAACATGAACTTACTCGTTGCCACAGCAACGGGCGAGGCGCTCAGGCCCCGCCCCCAGGGAGCGCGTCGGCGGAAATGAGGCACGAGGAAGCAGGGAGAAGGGCAGAATTTTAACGGGCACATTTTTGGGGGAAACCTCAGCTGTTTTTGTTTCTTAAACATAAATTAATCAAAAAACGGCGTTTAAACCGAGCAGTAGACGACCGACTAAAGGCTGCCAAGGAAAGACATTATTCCACAGCCAGTTCCTTCGCTGCATTTGAACGGAAAGTATGACTCTGAGGTAAAAAAGGTAGCAACGTCTTCACGTTTTGACAGTATAATCCTTTCTGTTTGCTAAAAAATAACGCTGTGAAGTAAAATAACGCAACATATAAATACCTGAGGATAGTTTTATACATGTGTCGTGAGTATAGCTTACCTTGCTTGCCAGCACGAAGCTGAAATCAGCTTCTTGTTCGAATAATTTTCCGTTCCACCTTAAATGGTGCAGCAGTTACGTTCTGGCGTCTCAGGTGCCTGAATGCAGCTGCTGCACTATTTAAGGTGGAACGAATAAATTCAACAATAAGCTGGCGAATAGGAAGCTGACTTCAGCTTCTTCTTGCCAACTGCCATTCTTTTTGCTTAATAGCAACACATTCAGTAAATTCTTTCATGTTTGGCTCACTGAGATGCTTGGGTTAGTTTCTACAGCTGGTGGAATAAACAAACCATTCACTTTTGTCCAGTGCCAGTGTCCGAGCCTTAAGTTGTATTTTTTTTTATCTCCTTTGTCAGGCTACTTTTGTGGAAGATGCACTGTGGACATACAAGATGCCCTGGATGCTAACTTGTCTCCCATAGTTGTATTCCTTTTGAATGAAGTGCAAAGGAGGGACAATGTAGATTAAACTGCATACATTTAATCCCAGCCTTTACATTTCTACCTAATATTGGTCTTTTCCACTAAGGGCACTCTTGTAGTGTTGAGTCATGCAGCCCTTATACACCTAATCAAAGAATGAAGCAGTGATTTGAGCTGTTTTGTCAGATATAGTAGGCCCCATCCATAAAACGCAATACAATGTCACTAGCCGAGCAGTCACAGAAGTGGTTCCCGACTCACGTCCAAGTGACGGTCCTCCAAGCGGCAGACCTCCAGCCGAAGGGCAAGAATGGCACCAACGACGCCTACACGATCATCCAGCTTGGGAAAGAGAAATATTCAACGTCGGTGGCGGAGAAGACCTTGAGTCCAGTATGGAGAGAGGAGGCTTCGTTCGAGTTGCCGGGCCTCCTTGTGGAGGGCAACCCGGAGATTTACGAACTGTGCCTCATAGTCATGCACAGGTCTCTGGTTGGGATGGATAAGTTTCTAGGACAGAAGAGCATCAACCTCAACGAGATATTTGACAACAAGGAACGAAGAAAGATCAAGTAAGTGACCCTTGTTCCAGTCTCTTTTGCCTTCTGTTGGAAGGTTATGACAGGTATGAAGGAATGTAACTGAAACATCTGAAAAGAATTGCTTTCACTTTGCTTTATCCTGATGGTCGAGTAGTAGAGGACCGTGGACCATATCAACAGAAGTCAGTGCGGTGCCGTAGTAGCCAGCCCAATAATCTTATTAAATCCAGCAGGCTAATCCCTTTACCGCACAGACCAATGCTTAGGTCAGTGCTGGATTGAGTTACTCTGTGCCAGGGGTGATCTTGACATGACTAGCCTAATTTTGTAAGACTGTACAATTAACTGTGTATTAATCTAAATCCTAACTCTTCCATCCTAATTGATTACTGTGTCAAAATGAGGCGTTTCTTTGAACAGTTGTATTGAGCAAATAAAAGCAAAGTAATTTCACTTGCGTATCCTCTGAGCAAGTAGTGATGACCAATCTCAGATATTCACTTCCTTTCAAACCACAGGAATTCACACGCTGCATATATATATATATATATATATATATTATATATGTATATATATATATATATATATGTATATGTGTGTGTATATATTTATTATATATGTATAAGTGTTAGGTGTTCATGCACTTGCTCAGTCTACCATTTAATTCCAGGCACTAGACCCCACCCATGTTTCGGTCATATGCCTGTTCTGAATCACTGTGTTTTCCCCTCTGTAGTCATAGTGGGTCACAGTAACGTGCAGCGCGTAGGCTGTCCACCTCATTCTTGCAAATATTCTCTGCGGCATCCTGTGTCAATAGCGGCATGCTCGATTTGTCAACAGCAGACCACTAACGCAATAGGGAAGTTTTCTTTGTCTCAGCTAGCAACCACTAAGTCGTTCTTGAAAGCCAGTATCAGAAGTTCATAATAATACTAAGCTATCGGCATTGGCCTAAATGTAGGTCCGTTAATTTTGGCTAAATCAATCTCCACAGCGACGTTAAGATAGTTTTCCTGAAATTTGTTGAAATTTAACATTCACCTTGTTGAAGTGAGCTCTATTTGAGTTTAGTTTAGAGTTTACAGTATGATTATTATAAATCTATTAATAAGGCTTTACTGAAGGGCAGCATTCATAGCACTGCATCACACCTACAGAAGCCTTTTTCGACAGCTGATATAAACCGCTTTTATACGGCTTGCATCAGTTGTCATAAAGCTGCTTGTGTATTATTATGATTATTTTCCTTTTTTATTTGACCCTAGAAAGGAATATGACGATGGGTGCTTTGTAGAATAAGCCTTCGTTAGTGTTTAGATAGGTATAAGATAAGATCAGATAAGATAATCCTTTATTAGTCCCACAACAGGGAAATTCTCATATGTAAGCTGTCACGAAAAGCTGATGTAGGTCTCCTGAATGGTGCCCTACAGTAAAGTGCTATCATTCTTTCAACTTCTTAAACTTTTAGGGGTTCCAAACTTCTATTCCTCACTCTCATATAGAGATCGAGATTGTACCACTATTTCTTTTCCTGTACTGATACTGAAATTTTAAGTATCAACCTGATCTTTATTTGGTATTAGGCTGATACAGGTACTAAGTATTGTAATAGTACACTAATAATATGTACATTTGTGTAGTACTTCTATAGTGGTGGCTGAATAAATCATAGTAGTCACTGGATATTAAGCCTTATGATTAATAATTGAATTAAAACCCTGAAGATTAAGGGGTTGAGTGCAGTATGTAATTTCTCAAGTTCATTAGTAAAAATGCAGAATACCCCTGTTTAGTCCGTTTCACACACATGCATCAGATACTGTAGTAGAGTCCATTCTGTTTTGAATCCACATAATCCAAATTGAAATTTCCCTGCCTAATACTCTGAAACAGTCATAGTCTTGTACCCCTCAGCCTTGTGTAGTGTATAATTAAGATATACATGTTCGACCACCCAAAATAAGTGTAATAGAAAATACAAACAATGGAAAAAGGCATGGCCAGAAATGTTTCATCTATGCCCTTGTCAGTCAGTGCTGTGTGGAAGAAACAATGAGATGAAAAGATAGCGTGTGACTTCAGAGCAGGCCTTTTCTCTAGCAGAGCCTGTAAGCAGATGAACGAGTCTGGTGAGGACAATTACTTACAATCAGATTTCCTTTCTGGTTTGTCTGGCCTCAGTGACTAACAGGTGTATTTCACCCAGTGGGCCCTGTTTTACCAGGCCCAGCCCGCAGCAGCTTTTAGAAACGCGTTCAGTCAAGCATTCAAACAGCTGCACATTTTGCCTTTTTCCTGTTAGAATGATTTGAGGTAGTGCAACTGTTTCTGCTTGTACATTATGGTACATGCATTGTTAGCCCCTCAGCTTTAGATTTTCGTCTAGCCGTGCATAGTGACCTGTTCACTTTGAGCTTTGGAACTGTTTGTTGTAGGAGGAATGTTATCCGTCATTGCTGGTCATGTATTACAGTCACTGGACATGTCACTGATAGCGTGTAATGTGTAGACTTTGTAAATCTCTCCCATTGTTGAAATCTTGATTGTTTCTATTTATGTTCTTGCATAGTTAAATAATTGTGAGGGAATTCAGTCTCACCCTTCTTAATTGTATAATACTGTGTTGTCTCTGAGCCTGTTAAAGGGGTCATATTCTGTAGTTTTTGTATTTTATTATATTCTGAGGTCCACTGTTGTCTTTTTTGTGGGTTTATGTACCAAACATTCATTCATTTTACATGACTATTTTCCTTCCTCTCTATTTGACCTCTGTTCACTCCTGGCTGAAACACTCCTTATACCAGGGGTCGGAAACCCAAATGTTAAGAAGAGCTATTTTGTCCTTTCAACAAAAATCAAACCACCTTGGGAGCCACAACACTTTATGTATTTTATTGAAGTAACATTTTACCATCTTGGCTGTAAATGTGTCTCAGTGTGTGCTGAAGTATAGGCTAAAAAAATAATATAAACGAAAACGCAGGCTTACTTTGCTCTGCTTTAAGCTTTAGCTCAGCTGTAGCTGCTTTTCTCGCATCTCCGGCAGGAAACTATTTTGCAAAAGTGGAATAGTTTCTTATAAAATGTCTCGACTTTTTACAAGGTTGAAGTCAGCTTCTCATTCTCCAGCTTCTTGTTTGAATTTTCACGTTCCACCTTAAATGGTGCCTGAGGTGCCAGAATGCAACTGTTGCATAATTTAAGGTGGAACAGGACAATTCGAACAAAAACTGACGAACGAGAAACGACTTCAGCCTCACGACTTTTTAGTGTTTGACAGTTTCTGGTTGCAGATTAAATGTATCAGGAAACCAGCTGGAGTGATTATAAATGCAAATAAGTCAATTTGTCCCCAGATTTTCAATGTCCATCTTAAATGTTTCTCTTTGCCTTTTCGTTCGCTACTAGCTAGGCAAGAATGTTGTCTGCGTTGCTATGGTGACCAGCAGTCTGCGTGATCTTCAGGGTTAAAGGGTGAATTAGCATTAACATTAACTCCAGCATTTAGGACCATTTATTGTTAAAACAGTGTTAGAACGACCAGCAGAGCTTTATTTACTGCATTTTATTGCCTAAAAATCTAATTCTGCTGTGGAGCCGCAGCAGGGCAGTAAAAGAGCCGCACATTGCCGACCCCTGACTTACACATTCATGAGTAGGCGGGACTAAACTGCTGTAGACTGAATGGCTGGATGTATATATAAATGTGTTGTTTTTCATAATATGACAAAACAATAAATGCAAAACGGGCTGTTTCTGCAGTTTAGTTTAAGAGTGAACATTAAGTTTTGACTTTAACAGTGTTTACATACTACTTTAATCTCTAATATTTAAAGAATGTTTTCTTTGTTATGGGTCTCTGCAGTTTTTCGGAAAGACACTGTAAAGTTTTGTCATGAAACTAATTGTTTAAAAAGGGAGCAGATTCAAGCAGATAGGCTCTATCATCCAAAGAGTCTTTTAACACGCTTTATTCTCTACAATCTGAATTCGATACAGTGTATTATAGTGCATTAGAGAAGGAAAGCCTTGGCTGATGGAATACTGTAATCTCCCGTGTGGCATAATCTGGCCGTTTGTCAGTCATGCAGAAGTTTGCAATTGAATTACCTCCAAGCTATTGCAGAGTGGAGCTTAGAGTCCCATCTGCTGGTAATTATCATATAGGCTACATCATCACCTCTCCAGCACATTAGAGCCTTTCCCCTTAGCCAGAGAGACAGTGGCACGATATGTCATAATCACTGCCAGGCGTTTATTTTATTTACTCAAGCAGTCCGTGGAAAGCACACCTAGGGGGGCTTTTGTCGTACCGTAAGTCAAGCGAATACTGGCTTGATGTGAGCACAAATCTCCTTGTAGCCCCTCCTTGGCCTTTGAGACTTAGAGTCCCACGCTGGCCCTGTTCTCTCTGACACATAGTATGAGTCCGTTTTGACATCGGGCTCGACAGGCCCTAATTATCACGCACCTGTGTTTGTTGATTGTGCGGAGGTTCCCAGCGGTCCGCGCTGAGTGGGAGCGTGTTGTGAATCCGGGCCCAGGGAGGTTTATCTTGGCCTTGACGCCCATGGTAAGAGCAAGAGGTCGGGCCTCTTCTCATCCTGCTCACTTCAGAGCTGCCCTTCTGGGCCCGAAACCAGGTAAAAACCCTTGCGCGCCCGGCTACACATGGCAGCCCTGTGTGTGAATGGGCTTGAACCATCCACTGACTGTGGCATGATGGGAACGGCACACTTCACACAGTGGCAGGCTGCGGTGGCCCTGGCGGAGAGTGAATGAGTGTTTACAATGGTGCTGGCATGAATATAAAGCGGGATGTCAAACTCCATTGCTGGAGAACTGGTGTGTGTATATATTAGGGGTGGGTAAAATGACGGTATGTAATCATTATTGTGAAAAATTATGCCACAAACAGCTTTTCTGAGCGTAATTTCAAGTTCAAGACAGCCTTGCTTAATTGGATATAGTGTAGCATGTTATGGGAAACATTGCATTAAAAAGATGTCGTTTTTAATGTGGCACTATTGGTGCCTTGTGTCTGTTCACAACCTCATGAATGAAACAAAATGTTGTAATGTGTGTTTTGTATATGTAGTATATTCTTAGGGATGCACTGATAAGGGCTGACAATTGGCTAACATTTATAAATGTAGGACAACATCTACCTCCATTAGCATTTCAGCAAAATATAACATTTCAGTAGGGTTAAAAATGAAAATAAAATTCTGACATTTAGCACAGTAACCCAGCGTCACCTAAACATTCTGCTCTTCTGGAGTACCATAAATACGCCATCAAGTACCAGTTTGAAATATTGGTCAAATCTAAACATCTCTCCTACACCGGTTTTATTTTAAGCAGTTATCTGTCCATACTGATATGATTCTGATATCATTGTGCATCCCTAATATTTTTGCCATATTGCCCACCTTAGTGTATATTAAGTTTTTGCTTGCAGTCTGCACTGATCCTGCAAAAAATGCCCAAAAAAGTCTAAAAATCTAATGCTGTTAGCCAGACTACGAATGTAGCCTGTGAGGAAACCACAACCTTGAACAACTTTCTGTCCATATGTTCCGGTAGATACTTGCTCCCTATTGGGCAGTGCTGTGTGGCTTATGAAAATGCTCTGTCATAAGCAGGCAGATATAACTATCGGCCTCTAATTAAGTGATTAATGGGAGAAAAGTGGTGCCTCATTATGTCAGCAGGCCATTTATTGCTGCATTGTTTTGGAACATCAGTCCAATTTGTTGCAGCTGCAGCAAACAAACAAGTATTACTGATGCTATCAATCCTCAGAATGGGGACTGATGTCAGCTATTCTTGGTCGGTCCACTTAGCAGACCAGCAAAAATGTGATGTATGTGACCCCTTATATCAAGCAGTGGGCTCCCAATATTACTAAGGTTGCCCTGCAGTCATCAGGTTTGATTTAAGTAGTTGAAAGTTGAGTTTTCACCTAAACGCAGAGGTGGGTAGTAACTAGGGCTGAACAATTTGGTTTTGTTTTTTGTGCCAAGAAGACTGGCATATCCACGTTTCTGTCTTGAGACTTGACAGCTGGACATAATGTGCTAGATAGCAAGGCAGTTGTGTTGTTATGTAAACAGCACATGGATGCTTGGTTGCTTTTGTTTGTTCTAACTCATCTGCAGGTGCTTTAGAAGCTCTGTGGTATTAGGTTTAATTTCCCTCTTAAATCTTGTTAAGACAAGCTGATAATGTATCCTATAACTAAAAATTACAGCTCTTAATATTTAAAAATGGTACCCTTTTAAATATCAATTTTGATATAAAAAACAATCTTTCATATTAATCTTTGTGCAGTACAATGTCAAGTACAGTTTTGATGGAATTGTACTCTATTTTAAAATGCTAATTTTGTTTCTGCTCATTTATATTTGTAAAGAAATGCTTTTTACTTAACTTTACTTTTTAATTAACATTTTAATTACTAATGACTTATCATGTTAGTGACAGCAGCTGGACTGCTTTCTGAGCAGTCACGCCTTTGAATTCTGAGGCATATTATTTTATTTTAGACTTGATAGACTAGACTAGATCATATTATTTTAGAATAGAGTTTAACAAACTTCAGATCTTATGCTGATAGATGTACTAATACTTTTAGTATTAGTATACATTTAGTCTAATAGCTTTTCTATTACTTTTATCTCATTGTTTTACCAAATGTGGGTTTAGGCTACACTAACCACCTCTGCCTAAACGTGACACTAATTCTGATTCTAAAAAAACACCTGTAATGCTGATGTCCTAAAAGAATACCTCAGATGGTGCATCCTTCTGAAAATCATTGCTAAAGTTGTCTGTCTCACTGACTACTATTGTATTCACACTATTTGAGCTCTACTTCTGCCAAAGTTCTGCCGTTTTAATTTTCAGAGTTTACTTGTTTCCCTTAGTCAGCTGATGAAATGTATAGATCACAAGCAAATGAAAATAGCTCTGCAGTTAACATATAAAAAATGCACACATGTTTGATTTAAATGAAGGACAGATAGTTTACCAACCTAAAAAATGTCAACCTCTGTATGTGCCTTTTACATGTTTGGTAAAGTCATTGTGTCTGAAAAGCAATCTTAACTCGAATTAATATCATAAAGCAAAGAAGTAAATGTCTTTTCACTCCACTTAACATGTCTGTTTGACAAAGCTTTGGTTTGGAACTGCTTTGTTTCTCACCATCACTGTGTTTTATGTGATTCACTGAGAGTCTGAATTAGAAAAAATCTGTCCAAGCGCCTTAAAAAAAGCTTTTACGGCAATATACCTTCTCGTAATTTATGTTGCTACCCAGAAATATTCTTCCTTTTATAATCTCCAAATCTTGGTGTAAGCCGCGAACGAACAAAGGCCAGATTTGTGCAAATGTCACCTCCTTTTCACAGAGTTATGGCATCAATCACATTACTTCCAGAAGAGAAAGCAGTAGAGGTTAAGCAAACAGAAGCTGGGGAATGGCCTAGACAGGGGTGTATTACTTCACATTCTTTATGTGTCCCGAACCAACGCAGTTACCAGGGAATTATGTTTATCCCTGCTATAATATGCGTTCTCAGGCAGGGGAAAGGCTTTCAAATGGACTAGCCTGTGGATTTGTGTGAAGTGAAATTGAGTTTCTCAGCAGACAAACACATTGCCCCCTTGTCGTGTGTTTTTTAAATGAATTATACATACGGAGCAGTCTTGAAAGAGACACTTTCCAGTGGCTTCACTGAACAGGGGAAATGAAAGTGCGATAGACTGTTTCCATTTTGTTTTTATCAAGCTGTACAACTGTCAATTTCCTCACTTAAGATCGCTAAATCACTCTTCTGTCTCCACCAGCACACCATTTAGGAAGCTATTATGTTAACGGCCTTCATTTGATTTCTAACTGTGCACAATCATCATGCTATATTCAACAAATATACAGGAAATAATTAATGAAATGATGCACGTCAGTTTGTTCCTTTATTTATTCATTTATTGCAGTATTTATTAGTTCATTCGGCCGTTCACTCATTCTATCAGAAACGGTGTGAACTCCTCCTTGTAAAGGTATATGTGCCTAATTTTTGTCTGTAGTGCGGCCTGATTTTATAAGCCAGGAACAGTTAAATAAAATAATAGTTATTTTCAGTATATATTATATTACATTGTATTATATTAGTATAATATAGTATAAACCTAATCTTTATTATATTACTGTTATAACATATGTCCTCTTTTTTCAATTAAATTTCAAATCAGTTTCCTTTTTTTGCTTTTATGTACTTTGAATGTCCTTTTATTTATTTATTTCCTTAATCTACTTGTTTTATTTTTATTGTTTTCACTCTGAGGCACTGAGCACTTGTCTTTATTTTTCCTTTTGATGTTCTGTTTGCTTTTATTTATGTAACACCCTTTGCTTTTGTGTATGAAATGTGCTCTATAAATAAACTCGCCTTGCCTCATAACAAATGTCAGCTTCAGTTAGGGATAAATTTGAACATTGCATTGTATTTTGAAATACAGTGTTTTAAAGTAGAAGTAGCCCTATTTTTTTCTAATATACACATAATTATCTTTCTTTTTGTCCCTGTTCCCTGTTAGCTGGTACACCCTGGATTCTCGTCCTGGCAAGAAGAGGAAGGAGAGAGGGAAGATCCAGGTGAGCATCCAGTTCATGAGGAACAACATGACCGCCAGCATGTTCGACCTCTCCATGCGGGACAAGCCACGCTCGCCTTTCTCCAAGCTCAAAGACAAGATGAAGGGCCGCAAACATGACAGTGCCTTCTCCGACACCTCCTCTGCCATCCTGCCCCGTTCGGGACAGTGCGAGACTGACTCTCAGCTTCCCCAGGGCCTGCCGAACCAGCATCTCCAGCCACCAGCCGGCTGGGTGGAGCCCAAACCCAAACGCTCTCTCCTAGCAGGAACTCAGAAACTCTCTGCGGCACACTCCATGTCTGACCTGATAGGAACCCACTTCAGGCCCAAACTGGACTCCATGAACTCTATAGAGGAGAGTGGTGAGGGTAGAGCACAGCCTTTTTCTGCATTTCTGTTTTGAATTCAGTATGGCAGGATCTTACGAAGAATTTCTGTCAGCTATTGGTTAGCTACTGGCTAAAGTTCATTTAGGGAATTGCAAATTTTGAATAGACATTTAGGAATGATTTAAATTTATGTATATTTACAGTTTTTCCCAGATGAACTCAGTCAGCCAAGACGTTTGGTTTTCAAAGTTTGCCTCTTTATTTTTGAACTGTGAAGTTAATTTAGCCAAAAAGTAGGCGAAGGTTGCTTGTAAGGTTACTTTTTTGCTGAAATTACTCAGCATAAACTATGTCATTTAACCTTTGAGATTACTTAATACTATTTGAGGCAGGTGTGCACTGATTTAAGGATACAGTTTGCTTAATTCTTATTAGTAGGGTATCAGCTTCCATTACGTGTGAGCTGCATTAGCATTGTAGCTCCACTACGAAACTAAAGAAGTAACTTTTGGACAGCAAACACGTCTCTTCTGAATTTTTTTTATGTGTTGCTGACTGTCTCTTTCTTTGCTCAGGTGGAGTTCCCCCTCACAGGCGCTCTCAGAGCGAGGTGCCCGGTTACCAGGACGGTGAGGCGGCGGCCGACCCGTTTACAGACATTGGCGACAACATGCCGCAGAAATTTGCTACGCTCCCCCGCAACCGCAACCCCTTCGAAGGAGATCAGGCGGTGTTCTGGGACCGGGCGGACCGGAAGGAGAAGAAGGAGAAGGTCAGCCTGCTCGAGCGAGTGACGGGAAAGAAAGAAGGACGGAAGACGAGCAACGGAGCACGCTCGGGCAGTTCAGGGGACCTCCGATCTCCGAACCCGTTCACCTCTGAGCAGGCCAGCGACACCAACCCCTTCCTTCCACACTACATGCCCAGGTAATTTTTAGGCTTCTCGTATGTTACACAGAAGGGTAGGTGATATGACAATTTGTTGTTGATATTATGATCACACTACACTTTGCTGAGCCAATTGCAAACCACCATGTCCTGAGTGATTGGATGTTAGCCCATTATGCCAATATCTATTTTTATTTTTTTTTACCAGTCGTTCTCCAAAGCTTTCACTTAACAAGTTTTCTTTTCTTTTCGTCACTACTCTTTTCCTGGTGCACTGTTTGGTAAGGATCCTCGGAAAAAACAAAATGTCTTCTGATGTATTCAAGTATCACAGTGTGTTTTGCCATATCAGCAGCCCCAGATACTACATTTTAATCACATTGTGCATCCGGTTCCTGAGAACTCATCTTATGGTTCTGGTGTCATTCTCTTTTTATCAGTATGTTGGGTTAATGTTCCTAGGAACCACAGTTGTTAAAAAAAGTGTTTTTGCCCACCACATCCTGTATTCATAACACTTTCTGTAAGATCAGAGTATACCCTAGATCTGCTTGAAATTCGTAACCATGCCACTTCTCTTACTGCTGGACGATAGAGATGGCCCTAAAGCCCCTGTTTAATCAGAGGAGAAGGTGTGTCATTAGGAAGATTTTATCAACGTCATTAGGCGTCATTTTATCCTAGCAGACTGGACTTACAGGGCCTTTTCGAGCCTCAGTAGTGATATCTGATAGAGTGATAGAGCAGTCAATTAAGCACTTATCTGGCTTTGGCCTGACAGGCCACTCATCCTCTGGACACCCTCAGATCACAGGTCACTGAGGAGGCCACGGCCTCGGGGAAAACCTCACTTTAACAAAGTGACAAAAATTCCAAGAGCCAGTGATTTTTACGAACTAGATGTTCTGCAGTAAATCAGAGGTGGCACCAGTCTGATACTCGGTAAGGGTATTGTGGTAATTCATGAAGAATGTGCTTGATTTAAGTATCAGAGGAAAACCAAAGAACGAATCCTTTATTTCTGTCACAAATCTAACTGAAAACATCACAGAATTGAGTGTAGCATTGGTTGATGTAAAGTGAACTAAGAATAACAAGTACATAGATAGGCATCATGCTAGAATTACAATTCGTTTATTTTAAATGGTCTGTTCTGTGCACATTTGTATGTAAGTGAAGTGTGATTATTTTAAAGAGCTTAACTAAATAGAAAAAAAAAGCTGAGATCATGTGGTAATGATGTTGGCTCTGTATTTCCTGTGGTGTAGTAGTGTTTGAGCCGTCTGAGCATTGTACTTTTAGATGGCTGTCTTAAGTGAAGTGCTTTACTTAAAATGGCTCATTTTAAAGCTTAGTTGTTCAAAGAATGAATATCCGATTAGCATAGAAAGTTGCAGTATCAGAAAAAGAAAAGTAGCATCATGCCATGTCTTGGATGGATGGACGGACAGTCTTAAAAATGTATTGCTAATATTGTAGCCCATGAAATGCAAGCCTTTGTCGAAAGAATGTAGTGCACAGGTGACAATATTAGTAATACATTTTTAAGACTATCTATCTATCTATCTATCTATCTATCTATCTATCTGTCTATCCAATTTACTACTGGTTTAAAAAAAAGTTATTTATTGATTTATTTCATGCAAACAGTACTTATATTCTTACATGTAAACATAACTGAACCTTTAAACATGGGGCATGATATCCTACATTAATACCATATTTATGGTACCCCAGATGGATGAGATTGTTGAACTTGCTTAGTGCTGCAGGTAGATGTCACTGCTAAAAAAAAAAACAGCTTCAGGAAATACGAGTAAAATCATGTCTCAGCTCTCGTACATCAGGCAGAACAGGACGTTTCAAATGGCCCCAGGCAAAATGGCTAAGCAAACAAGGCAGTAACCAGGTTCAAAAGTTCATTTGGTAAATACATTTTCTTTACCAAATGCTAATTTCTGATCTTTTTTCACCACATTACTCCCCTTTTTTTTAACCTGTACGTTCGGCATTTTTTCCTCCATTCTTTTATAAACCGATAGTAATCTTCCATAAACTGCTTTGAATCCAGTTAGACTGTTTAGTTCAGGGGTGCCCAATCTTAGACCTGGAGATCAACCACCCTGCATAATTTAACACCTGATCCAGGTAATCAAGGCTTTCAGGGACATCTGAATATTATAGCCAGGTGTGCTGGATCTGAACTCTCCAGGGTGGTGGATCTCCAGGACTAGGATTCAATAGTTTATTTACTGAATTTGATTTATTTAGTTAATTATTTAACTATTTATTTTATAAATAAATATTATATTTAAGTTCAAATACAGCTTAAGCATATTTGAAGCCTTGTTTAGTTGTTGAAGCCTATTTTAATTAATTAATAATTAATGAAATGTTAAGTAAACATTTTGTATTGTTAAGCTAAGTCAGGTTACCTTATTTAAACAGTAAAATATGTCATATTGTGGTAGCAGTGGTGTTCATGCCTTGCCAACTATAGATTTATCTTTCATCTTATTCTTTCTCTTTGTCTTAATCTTTTTTTAAAGACACTTATCAATTTTTTTTATATTATTTTTATTAAAAATTTACTTTCTGATTTAGCTAGCAGTGTTAAGAGTAGTCTAAAGACAAGTTTTGGGGGTTGTACTTTACAAGCATGTATTTTTTTAGCCTTTTATGTGTTATATTCTCATGTAAACTGTCACATTTATTTCAGAGCTGTAGCCTGCAGTGTCGCATACGTGTACATCTTCACAAGACAAAGTAGTAGCGGTTCGTGTAGAGCTAAAAGCAGTGGGCTACGGTCTACGGTCAAACCATAGCTGCTTTGAGGAACATCAGTCATGTCACTGCTGACTGGATAGATATTCTTGGAATGCAAGCTTTTCCACACAGGCTACACTCTGCTAACACGTTACCAGGATGACACTGATTCCATACTGAAATTCATAATTGGAGATACATTTAAAAAACAAAGCTTCTGAAGGTTCAGACCGCTGTGTCCTCAAAGCTGGTTGCAGCCATGTAAGTGGCCACAAACCGGTCTGTAAAGGACGTCTAACATTCGCAATTGCATTTTATATTACTTCATTACAGTTTTGTAGCCAAATTAAAGAAAATATACAACAACCACAGCTTTTAAAAGATGAGTCTCAACTCGTAAGTGTTTGTGTTGCTCACTGTTTGAAAAAAGGTCCACAGGAAGCCACTAGTGTTTTTTTTTCTTTCCCCTGTTGTCTTGCTCAACTGTTCAAGCTGCATGCGGCGTCCCTGAAATGGTAATTGACCACAGTGATTGTTGGGAAATGGAAAATAGACACATAACTCTCAGCGAGAGCGTGGGAGGTCACAAAGTGACTACCTGCCCTCCGTTTCCTGTTAGTGAGCCAAGACCACGCTGTCTATATTTGACACTTCAGGCAGGATTTGAGTTTATTGAGGTCAATTTGATAACGAAGCTCATTTTATAGGTCAGCAGCTACGCTTTAATGTGCCTGTGCTTTACTTGTTACTGAGTATAAGTATGGAGGTGTTCACTGTCTCCAAAACACAACTATGTTTACTGATGAGTTAATCAATACTTTGCTTTTTGGAAGTGAGATTCATTGATTTATACATTGTCAGGCTGAAAGAGAGTGTTTTCTTTTGTGCTGTTTTGCAGTGATAACACGAAACCCATCAGTAATGAAGACTTGAGCCAGAAGAAAAAGGCCTCCCCAGAGAAGAAACAAGGCAAGAAGAACACAAGAGAATCTGTAAGTTCTCATTTCTTTTCTTGGACACGATGAGTTGGACACCCTAACCTCTGCAACACTGATCTGTCTTGTGCAGCCTGTTCCCTGTGCCTACACAACAGAGCTAGACTTCTCATAGTCAAGCAAAGTGAGGAGTGCACTAGTGAAAATTCCTCTGTTTTGCGTATTTTTAGTTTTTTGCCACAAATTCTTTTGTCAGCATAACAGCTTGAAAGAAAAGTAGAATCTTATATATATATATATATGTATATATATAGTATATATGTGTTTTACAAATTCTTGCCACCTCTTTGCTTTAATGACTGTGTGTACTTGAGCTGACAGACTCCACAAGTTTGTAAATGATCACTATTGGGGGGGAAAAAACCCCCCAAAACTCACTTTGTTTAAGCCATAATTTTGAGCTACAGTAAGCAATAATCATTATTTTCGCCTCATATTTAATGCCGTTTCCTAATTTAACAGGGACAACTGGGTAAACCAAAAATTAACATGATGGTATATTTTCAGTGTCTTGTACACATTTTGTATGCATCAGTGTTCCTTGATGGTCATTTTGACCCCAGGCTGTTTTAGCTGTATAAAACATAAGACATAACATTTACACACACTTGTTTTTGTAGTTTTGGTTGATTTGGTTGATATTGAGGTCACTCTTACATGCAGTTTTATAGTCTTCAAAAAACTTACCTCTGCTCCAGGGCCCTGACCTAACATAGCCATACCAGTAGGAGTACAAGAACCAGTGATGGTCCACACGACGCAGGAGAGGGGAAAAACATAATTCCCACCAGAACTTTATTTGCCAGACGTTTAAACTGCTGGAGTCAAATTGACCCCAAGGATAAAATATGTTATCAAATTTGAGGATAACAGGAGGGTTAACATTATATCTCTTCAGGGTGCAGCGTCATCTGACCAGTTTAACATTTTAACATGCTAGTTCACTAGACAAGCTCTGTGCGAACAGGTTTCCAGAAAGAGCGAGAATAGTTTAGTTTGTCTGAACACTGGTCTGGAGGGAAAGCTACCGTTTACTCTTTGTTCTGCTGCTTTAGCGTTTTTTCTCTTTTGATGGTAGAAGGAAACATGGACAGTTAACGTGGACAGTTAAGTCACTTATGTGTAGACTTGTGTATGTGACTATCCTTAATTTAAAGGAAATGCTCCCAGACCTTTTTGACTTTCAGCCATAATTATTCTTTTTCGTTTGCTTAAATAGAACGAAAAAGAACGTCTGCTTACATAGATAGAACACTAAGTGTATTGCTGCTCTTCTCTTGCCACCTCTTTGCTTTAATGACTGTGTGTACTCGAGCTGACAGACCCCACAGGTTTGTGCGGAATCTCTGACGAGTAGATCAGATCCATCTGAGAGTCGTTTGAACACATACTTCAGTGCAGGCCTGCAGAAAACGAATGTTTACATAGTTGCTCATTCATGTGAATTAATTGACTAATAATCAAATAATCTGCTGTAAACGTTACAATGAAATATTTATCAATGATACAACACTAAGTGTATTGCTGCTCTTTTCAAGTTAAGTTGTTAACTTACTGATTGTTGGACATGACTTTAAAAATGTAAATGAAAAATTGACAACACAAATATTTGTTGACATTTTTATTGTCGACAGTATTGGCAATGTTAAATAATTGTTTGAGCTTTTGTTTGAGATTGTATAAATTCTAAATGTTTCTGTTTTTATTTTAAGGCTTGAATGAAAACACAGATTTTCAATGTAGTCTCAGACGTTTGGACCACACTGTAAATGCAACTCGTCAAACCACAGTCTAAACAGCTGCTGAATGATGATTTTTTTTGTGTGTTTATACTTGGATTTAAAAGAAAAGTTCAAACTTGCCAAAACTTTTAATTAATCATTTATTGCAGTACTTTTTGACATCGCAGTAGATGATGCTGGTCTCTGCCATGATATCACTGGTGACACTCTGCTTCATCTACCATTTATCTAATTAGCAGATCGAAATAGCTGCTCATCGTCTTTGATCTAGGTGTAATTTGAAATGGTGCGATGTTATTAACGTGTTCCCCTTTTTTAGCGAGTGAACAAGCTTGTACATTTCATTCAATAATTGGAATTCCTATTGTGAACAGTGTGCAATTTGTCACTGGTCTGACAGGTCAAACTTATGACCGGTGTTAAACAAGGGTGAAGTAAGCACCATGTCTGGCTTTTGTCATAATTGTAATAATGGTTATTGTCATTATGTCCAGCATGGAATAGCGTTTACTTTGCACGAAGGGAGACTGAAATGATATTTAAATGGTTAACACAGTGCTGAAAATGGCTTTCCTCACCCGGCGTCAAGACCGCGTTAGCAACACGTCTGTGAAATGGCACTGTGAAGACCTAATTAAAGTGTGAGGGGGAGGAAGCCGGTTGAGACGTTTCAAAGGACTCGAGTTTTAGATTTTCAACGCAGAGGCCCTCATTAGCTTCAGTAATGAGACAACTGGAGAATGCCAAGTGCAAGTCTTATCTCGCCGCTTCCCCTGATTGCACAAATCTGTTCGTCAGCGGTTTGCTAGTTCATGGTCATTTCCTGGGCTCCCTTCAGTGGCGCTGCCAGCTCTCGCCTCAGTGCCTTTCTGCTTCACCCAGTGTCCTGTTCCCCTAAATCCTCCTCCTCTTGCTCTACGCCAGCCCTGTGAAACACCTTCTTTATTCGACAATGAGTTTCATTTCGTGGCTAGAAGTTTTTCTTGGCTAGTGGAGGACCGTCATCCGAAGCGATGTCTGCGTAGATCATGACAGCTTCACAGATTAGTGAAGGCAGGCAAAATTCAGGGAACCCATCCAACCAACCTTATGAAGACAAAACATCTTAGCTTTGACAGTTTTATGAAGGCAAACTGTTCTTTGTTGTTTCCCCAGGGAAAAGAAAAGGAATGTCAGTAGCTTTATCTTTATTATTGTTATCTGAGAAGGCTAATCTTAATTGCTGCTCTTGTCAGCTCATCTAGTCAAGGTCCTGGGTCAGTGTAAGGACTGGAGGCTGGCTAGGAGTCTGAACGCTCATCCATCTCAAACACACATCAGCTACCGACTTACTCAGCTTGTGAGACCACCCCCCCTCCCCAAGCTCTCTAGACATCTCTACATATGTCTTGCGTATTGCAATGCGCTACTTATTCATAACATTGTAATTATTTACATAAAGGTATGTGCATATACAGTACTGTGCAAAGGTATTTCTGAGGGCATTACATAAAATAATCCACCTGGGTGAGGAAGGGGAAGGTCAAAGGAAAGCAAGGGAAAAAAGATGATTTCCCAAAACTGGAGTTCAAAAGGTTTACAGAAAAAAAGTTAGAGAAAGTGGGACTTTTAACAAGTGGTAGACCATCAAAACTGTCACCATCTGATAAACTTTAGTACTTAAAGCTTTCATTTTTTTTAGACATTGGAGAAAATCAAGCTCCACTCTCTACACTGCTTTAGATAAAAAAAAAAATAGGTGTGTCAGTCCATCAGTTCCACTGTGAGAAGACAGCTCAATGCTATGGGTCTGAAAGGATGTGTAGCTGAAAGAAGCTCTTACTGAGAAAAAGAGACGGACAAAGATTGAAAAAATTGGCAAATCATAGAAGGTGCTGGTGTTCTCATAACAATGGACTGACCACCCCAAAGTCCAGACCTCAGCATCACTGAGTGTGTTTGGGATTAATTGGATAGTGAGAAGCAGAAAATGCAAAACCAACTTCTAAGACTGAACTTTGGAGGTGTGGAAAAATATCCCTGCAGATTTCTTAGAAAAACTGAAAGCGTGTCTCCTAAGGAACTTTTTTCCTGGTGCTGAGAAAATGAATAACTTGCGCTTAATGACCATTTTGACTTAAATAGCACAGTACTGTAAGTCATGCTTCATGACATCATTATTATTATTATTATTATTATTATTATTATAAATGCTTAAGAGCTCATTAAAAATGTTACCAATCTATGATGTTATAATGTTGAAAAAGCTTATTTGCTCAAGTTTCATCATAACCAGGAATACAGAAGTCATCGTTTTTAGCTTGTGTGATACGTGAAATCTTTCTTCATAATGCCACAAACCTGACAACTTGGCAAAGCTTCCTTTAAATGTAATTATGGCATATAGCCTGTGCCGTAATGCTGTTCTGCTAATTAGTAAAGAGCGAGATAATAGAAATGTTAAAGGTTGTAAATGTTAAGAGTTGAAACACATACAGTGCTACTAATTTTGATATATTTGCAATTTAAACTGACCTTGATGTAGAATCAAAGCTCATAGTTCAAAGCCATTCATTAATCTTTTCATGTTGTGCTTGCGGCCTGGCGCGGAAATGGAAAGGAACAAGCTGTTTGGATTCTTCAGACAAGAGCAGTAGTCATTTAATTTGTCTGAGTTAACAAATGAAATTAGGTCCTCAGGAATATTGTAGAATGTTTCAGCGAAATGCATAACTACATTTTATCATTAAAAAAGTGATGTGTTTTCTTAGTAGGTATGAACATTTGGTTTAACTGAATTCTGTACTGGTTTATTTAGTGGTGACTTCATTGGGTTACTGTAACTGACTTGAATCCCTTTTTTTCTGCTGTGACATTTCATCTTCTTGGTTTCTTCACATTGTCTAGGAGGCTGAGCAGCGCCAGACCAGTATGGCAGCATACAGCGGCCTTTCGTTTGAAGAGGTGGTGCAGGAGCTGATCAAGCAGAAGGAGGTGGTGAAGAAGAAGGATGCCCACATCCGCGAGCTGGAGGACTACATTGACAACCTGCTGGTGAGAGTGATGGAGGAGACACCCAGCATCCTGAGGACGCCGTATGAGCCCAAGAGGAAAGCAGGCAAAATCTCCAAGAAGTAGAGGTGAACTTCATCGTATCATCAGAGTGGTACATCTGATGTTTGAACAAGACATGCAAGCAATGAACAAAAGGACTGAAATGAGCAGTTCTGGTTACAGGCAACCTTGCTAGTTTACATGTGTGACACCTTAACTAAAAATTGGTTACAGAATGAAGGATTAAGGACTACATACTTCTGTCATTGCCAAACATTCTTTTTAAAGGTAGGTTTGGGCACAGGCTGACTAACAGCCTTTTCTGTCAATATATACACCGATATTTGTGGCTACCTTGTGCTCGCATACCTATTTAGTTTGTGGTAAGCTGTAGAGAGAAAAAAAAAACTTTCTTTGTGCAAGGAGACCGACGTTGTGATCCGAAAACAGACTGTGTTCAGTTGACTTTGCTGTCCTAAGCACAGCAATAATAATGATGAGCAAATATTTTAACCATTTGAATTGACAGTTTATTTTATAATGCACTTCAATTTATCGCCACACTCATACTCAGTATTGTTGCTATCAGAGTTCAGCCACATGTTCAGCCTTTGTGGGTATGTGGCAACCATTGCACTCGTATCATAGGCACCTACCTGTCTGTGTGGAGGGTGCTCAGTTGTTGCTGAGTACGATTAATGTCTGTTGTGTTTACTGGATATCTTAGGAACGTAGAAAGGCAGAGTGCAGTTTACTGTGACCTTGTGGCCATGAGCTGTTTGATAACAGGGTATCTACACTCACCCCCTGCTGAAGTGTGTTTACACTGTGCTGTGAGACTAAAGAGTGAAACTGGAACTCCATCATCATCTACCATCATGGAGTCCATTCTTAGGTAACCGAATGTTGCCAGACTGCTGTCAATGTTTCATGAGTTACGGAACGTTTTATCACTACTGTCGCTTATTTCTAATAGTGATCAGTTGAGCTGGTACTGGAATCTGTTTGGTGTGGTTTGATATATTTTGGGGAGAGGGTACTAGCACATTGGTACTTACAGTGCTGTGGAAAAGTATTTGCCCCTCTACCCAATTTCTTCCATTTTTGCATATGTGTCACACTTGAATGTTTCCAATCATCAAACTGTTTTTAATATTAGACAAAGATAACCCAAGTAAACATAAAATGTTATTTTTTTAATGATGATTTCATTTATTGAAGGAAAAGTGCTGTTCAGCCCTACCAGCCCCTATGTGAAAAAGTAATTTCCTCCTTAGCTTCTAAATCAACCAATTAACCAAATTCAGTTGACTGTTGGGACAATTTCACTTGCATCACCCAGGCATGATTACTGCCAGGCCTGTTGAATCTAAACATCATTTAAATAGAACCTGTCTGGCCATGTGAAGCAGCTAGAAGGTCTCAAAAAGCAGCACATGATGCCACGTTCTGAAGAGATACAAATACAGATGCAAACAAAGTCATTGAATTCTACCAGTCTGGAATGGGTTACAGAGTCACTGCTAAGGCTCTGGGACTCCTGCGAACCACAGTGAGAGTCATTATTCACAAATGAAAAAAACTGGATCAGTGGTGAAATTTCACCAAGAGCGCTTTGATGTTTCATTTAGGAGGTGACCAAAAAACCCAGACAAACATCTAAATCCTGCAGACCTCACTTGCCTCAGTTGAGGTCAATGTACACGATTCCACAATAAGAAAGACACTGGGCAAAAATGGCATCCATGGGAGAGTTGCAAGGCACAAACCACTGCTGACCAAAGAAAAAGGCAAAGGCTATCTCAAATTGCTAAAAAAATATCTAGATGACCCTCAAAACTTCGGGATAAGATGATGAGTCAACGGTGGAACGTTTTGGAAGACGTTACATTACATCTGGCATAGCTAACACTGCATACCACCATATGAACATAATTCCACCAGTCAAACATGGTGGTGGTAGTGTGATGGTCTTGGGCTGGATGTCTTGTCGTAATTGATGCAACCATGAATTCTGCTCTCTAACAGAAAATCCTGAAGGAGAATGTCTGTCCATCAGTTTGTGACCTAAAGCTCGAGCACAGTTGGGTTTATGCAGCAGGACAATGATCCAATACACACAAGCAAGTCTCTTTGAATGGCTCAAAAGAAGCAAAAGTAAGGTTTTAGAGTGACCGAGTCAAAGTCCTGACTTGAATCCCATTGAGATGCTGTGGCAACGACCTTAAACAGGGAGTTCATGCTTGAAAACCATCCAGTGTAGCCAAATTAAAACAATTCTGCAAAGAAGAGTGAGTCAGAATTCATCCATAGTGATGTTAAAGACTCATCGGACATTATCGCAAACGTTTGCAGTTGTTACTGCCAAGGGTGGCACAACCATTTATTAGTTTAGTTTAGGGGCAGTTATTTTTACACATGGGTGATATAGGTTTTGAATAAATTTTATCTTCAATAAATGGAATGACAGTTTAAAATCTGCATTTTATGTTTACCTGTGTTGTCTTCTTAGAATATCTGTGTGACAAATTAGCAAAAATAGGAGAAATCGGGTGGGTGGCAAATACTTTTTCACAGCACTGTACTAGGGGTGCACCAATATTGAATGTCTGGGCTGATAATGATAACTGATGATTAACACTTTGATGTCACGGATATCGATACTGATAACAGATTCGTTTGATGGTGAAACTTACTTTTGCATAGCTAAATCAGATCTGACAGTTGTTGCAAACATTTGTTGCTCATATTTCACATTTAGCAAACGTTCTTCTCCAGAGCTGCTTACAGTGCTGTGGGAATGTAATGTTAGAACTCTTACCCAAGCACTTTTATTAGGATAGCAGTGCTGCTTGGATGGGGTTGGACATTTTTCATACTTCTGTATACAACACAATGGAAGTTGTCACAGTACGGAAAACATTACAGCACGTTTTTATATCCTCAGAGAGTTGTCAAAGTAAGATGGACAGTCTACTTTTAATGTAAATCTAAAAGTACTTTTAGACTAGACTACTGACATCTGTTGCTTCGGTGTCTGGATGGGCGAGATGGGCCGCTCCTCGCTCTCTTGCTCCTCGTTCACTGGTCGGAGAAACCGCACTCCTTGTTTGCTTTGTATGATTCATTATTATGATGTTTTTTATGTCTTGAACGTACGAACAAGACACTACACACTTTGTTTCATGAATTATATAATTTATGGCTGCTATTAAACGAAAAACTAGATAAGCATTCAGTGCTACACAGGTTTTTTTGGAAGATATAGGCTTGAAGTGATGGCTCAGTCACAAGCTAGAAATCTACTAAGGGTAAGCAAATGCATCTTCTTTATCATGCGCACAAAAAAAGTGGATGATTCGAGTCTAAGTGTAGTATCTGTAGAACTTTGCTGCGGTCAGTGAATTTGCGGCCTAACGTAGACATTGCGTATGAATGGCCGTGATGTGCAAACTGTAGACTCACTGCTGCACCACTCATGTCAAGCAGAGTAGTCAGTGTTGCAGGGACTGTCTGGCTTGCGGGATGGAGTGATGCTAGAGCGACTTTGGAGCGAGAGAGAACACTGACGTTCCGACTTTCTGAAAAGTCGCTCTGCTTCCAGCTCAGATGCTCTGCTGGGTTGAGTGGAAAGTTAGGTAAATTAGATTTTTCACCAAGTCGTTCGCTTTAGGTGTGGCTGTTGTGTTGATTGGTACGTTTTGAAGCTTTTGTATAGTAAACATCAATGTTAATGTTGTCACTGAAGGAATTAAACATTGTCATTGTGGGTAAGCTTACATAGGAACACCGACCTTGTTAGGTTTTGTGGAAAAATGAGGTAAATGCCTTAACATGGACTTGCTAAATGCTGCCACTGCTGTAATGTTTTCCATGCTTTGATGAAAAGGGTCTATTGAAACTTCAGTCTTCCATATGAGAGGCAGTGATGTTATCTACTATTTGAATGAGTTAAAAAGAATGGAAGTGTCTTGCACTAGTAAGTATCCATGCGAACATGAGCGCACAAGTTAAATAACTGGTTGTAATTATCAGCCATCATTCTGATATCAAACTGATAATAATTGATGTCTCCCATTTATCTGGGAATAATGTATTGGCCATTGATATATATAGTGCACCCCTAGTATTTACGTGTTGAAATGTACATGTTGATACACTGGACTGGTACACAGTTACACTACTGAGTCTTTAATTCTAGTCATATTGAGGATAACCTTGTTGAATCGAACAAAAAAGCAGTTGATGCTCAGTTTCCAAAGATCTGATTCTGAATGTTTCTCAGCTAAACCTAAACGTGCTGGGTCTTAGTGTCGTCAGCACTAAGTGATTTGCACTAATGGCCAGATCTATGAGAACTCATGTTGTGTAAATATAACAAAAAAGTAATACAAAATCAGTTTTTAACCTTAAGGATTATCAATATGTTTCACTCTTGCACCACCTCTTCTGTTTTCTTCTCCTCTCATTACATTTTCTGTTTGTTACTTTTTGTATTTGATAAAAATCTTTCGTTTAATCAAATTGAACAGTTTTAAAAGTGATTTGATCAACTTCATTTCTCTTTGTAGACCTGATGTATTGTGTGAATTTTATTTATATCCTTTGGAAACTGAACAACGTAACATTTGGTTAATGTACTTGTACTTTTCCTCTAAAACCTAATGATAGCTCATGGTTATTTGGGGCAAATACATTTCATTAGCCTAATTTCAAGTCTTATTCATTACAGTATACATGGTTAAGTGCAATGTAGGCTAAGGCATTGGCAATTGGTACATTTAAGTTTGGTTAGAACAAAAACTTGTTTACAAATTGTTTTATAGAGTACTACGGGAGTTAAAAAGGTTTGATATTAGTGTTTCTACATTTGATCTGTCAAATTAATACAGAACTTCTAATATTACATGTTAAGACAAGGTCTTTAGAACTTAGAAGCCGTTTACTGTGGGAGATAAACCACCATCTCAAGAACTGTCACTGTCTGTGGCTGCCTTTTTTAAAAACACCTTAATATGTAAGGTTTTTTATAAAAAACCCAGTCAGTTGCTATTATTCCAGCTTTCTAATTGGATTGCTTGGCCAAAGTGCATGACTAAGACTATGCACACTGAATATCTTTAGCACAAAACATCGAACAAAAATGTCTGTCAAGCTAAAGGAAGTCACCCTGTCTAGCATGCTATTTTAATGCGGAGAAGATCCTACTTTTTAAAGCACTTCTCCTTTGTCTGGGTGACTCACCTAGACTCATTGCTGTCTTGTGCCAACAGCAGTCTGCAGGTGGGCACGTACACAGTATAACTTGCTAGCTGTTTGCTAGCTAAGAAAAAAATCTTAAGAATTAACCACAAAGTCATTCTTTAACTTTTTTTAAAACACATTCCTGACACTAGGTATTGCAATAGGTGTTTCAAGTCAGATATTATTTACCCTCTTCCATGCTGATTTGCCTGTCAGCAATATTAGGATGATGTGTTGTGTAGAGGTGGATGAGGTAGCAAAAATTATAGGATTGCATGCAAAAGTTTGGGCACCCTTAATCAAATTACGTTTTGTTGAATTTTTTATGTGACAAGTACACACCTTGTACTGAGATGTGCACACTTCTGCACATTTTAGTGTACAGTTACTGTTTATTTGCTGAATTTAACATAAAAAAACCATAAAATGTAGTCTGTGCAAAAGTTATGGCACAATTTATGTTTTTGTTATGTTAAGATGAGCAAATAAATAGAAATTGTGTGCTTAAGTATGCAGACAAATGGCAAATCTGATCATATTTTCACCTAGAAAAATATGTAATTTGACCAGTGGTGTTTTAAAAAAATCTCAATACTTGAAGACATTTTCATGACAAATGATATGTATCACGATATTTAGGTTTTCTGAGGCTAGCAAACAAGTTGGAATGGTCAAAATGCAAAACAGCGCCACATTAAAAAAATATATAAATGCATCATTTCCAATTTACAAGGGAGTTACAAAGTTACTGCAACAGCTGTTACAGGCTTACATATACTGACAATAGCCATGATATGCTCAGAAAAGCATAGCATGCCATACATTATCATAATAAAGAGAACATGTCGTTACATATCCCTAATCTTGTCAACAGCAACATTGAGTTACTTCCAATGGAAAGGTCTTTATTGTAACGGTCTTCTTCCTGCAGCTCTTCAAGTCTAAACATCACAACAAATGCTGTAAGGTGGCGCCTAACACTGACTCAGAAACAGTGGTCCTAACTGATTAACAAGGCGTATGCTAAGCCCTGCTGTTTCCAGCGGTGTTTGGTGTAGAGTCTACAAAACAAAGTATTGCAGATGAACTGTGAGCCTGACTGTACTTATGATCAGCTGATTGTCATTGAGTTCCAACATCCTTAGTGAAGTAGGTTTTAGTAGTTTATTTTAATGTATTAATAGTTTTGACCACTAAAGATGTGATCAAATTTGATAATAGTTAATTTCCCAAAAATATCCACAAAAACACAAGGTGTAATTGTTATCTGCCTTCTTGGGCAGGTATTCCTTTGAGGGGGAACCTAAGTGGGAGGTAAACAATAAATAAATAAATATATACATTTGGGGAAATCCTCAGAGTAGTTTAGTTTATCACTTTTAATTTATTCAGTGGAAACTATGACTGGCCCTAATCTCTGTCAAACTTGACCATCCTATCTTTGTTGACTACATGAGGGCGGAATATTCAAATGCTGAAAAGGCTCATATTCTTCAAGTATTTGCATGAAAAAAAAATGTATAAGACAAAAAAATTCAGTGATTTTATATATTGGTGTATACTAACCCATTTTGAATGTTCTATTAAATGAAGGGTGAAATAGTCACTTGGCAAAAAGAATATCTGCAAATAGCGACCCAGAAGACTAGTGAAGTAGTGAAGTTCCACTTCTGCTCAGAAATTTGGAATCGTTTGTCATATTAATACTTTGTGAAATTTTATTCATCTTCAGCTTGTAGTGTAGACACTGATAATACAAAATGGGAACCGGATATTGTCGAGTACTTGGGGAACAGTATTTAGGGAAAGCTGTGATATTATCAGGATTTTCTACTGTTCTTTTCCCCCATTCATTTGAATAGTAATAGTAATTTTAATATTATTAAACCATTGATTAAAGTGGGGATTCCAGACTTGTGAGCGGTAGTGTAAGTAGTCTGAACACTGTGCTGGTTTGCCGTTAGTGCAGCCACAAAAACTGGATTTGAGGGTCACTGTATGGATGTATTTGTCACTTTTCCTCAGTGCTTAAGGAGATGGAGGTCTTTACTTCCATGCGACTGAAGTTTTGCACAGTGCATTAGTGCCACCCACAGTGTTACACACAGTGCGAATGCTTTCGAGTTTGCATGGATGTCAGATGTACAAAATATAAATGAGGAAAAAAAAACATATTTTGAAATGTGCGACCAAAAGCTTTGATACATATTCAAAGCACTTTGACATAATGGTGGTGTTCAGATTAGAAATCAGCTCAGTCATTTAATTATTAGTATTTTTTTTAAATAAATGCTGCCAAGTGCTGCTGGGCCAAGTCATTCACGCTAATTTGAGATGTAAATGAGTGAATGTTGGCTTTTTCAGCTGCTGTCCTTTGTTTATTTTGACAAAAGTCGTCTTCCATGTGGTGTGTCGAGTGTCTGTGTAGAAAAGTTCTCTTGATTACGATCAATTTATATGTAACTTCCTTGCACAGTGAACTCTTTGAATGCTTCACAGCTATCAAATGACTTTCCAGTGTTTTATTCCATTGCCTATGCATCTCAGTTCAGAGCTGTTTTTGTGTCCTACTCTGAATGTATTTCGACCAATCAGCAATGTCTGTAATCACAAATGCAGGCGCATGTACTTGACCAGTGTCTAACATCTCTCTTTTTGTGTGTCCAGTATATTGAAAATGAACTGTCCTGTTTCATCACTTCACAAACTGTTAAAGACCATCATTATGTTTGGTCTTAAAGTGACTTTTATGCATTTGCTCTTATAGAAAACAACTTCAGGCACATGCATTGAGAAGGTATGTCAGTTAAGACCATCGCTGTGTCAACAGGATGTAACGAAGGAAGGAAAACATGCAAAGAAATCACTAAAATTTGCATTTTAAAAGCAACCTCTTGCTAACGGTTTGCAATCCCGTTGATTGTCATAGATGGCTAAGTCAAAACTAAATTGAACCCTCCATGCTTGTCTCCTTCTGTCTCTCAATCACGTGTCAGCTTGTTTTGTTTGCTGAAATGCAGTAACCGCTCTAATTAACTCCCCCACTTGGGCTTTTGATAGTGACTGATGCCAACTTAAAATGTAATTAAGGCTCCATTCTTGAATTGAGCATTCCATGCGCAGAATTTCTGACTTGCTATCTTTGCTTCTTCGTAACACCAGTGCTTCCTTCTTCTGTATTTCGCAAATATAAACATTCCCTTTTCACCATTTCCTTTCTCGGAAAAGTCACGTTTTTGTGACAGCTGTGGCTATATC